TATAAAATTGTAAATAATATATTTGAACATATATTACATATTTGTAATTACAGTGGATGCATTTTATTTTACAAATGGCCTTTGCAATATTTTGAACACGTTATGCCATATATGTAATTAGCATATCTATATATCAGATTTCTATATGAGTGCTGTTTCATCTCGGGAGGGTTTTTACCTGCCGATCAGGTTACAGGATTGCAGTGTTAGGTGCTGGAAGTCAACAGGAGACGAGTAATCTGTAATGAGAGCAGTTAGATTGAAAACAAGATTAAAGTAACTCAGTTAAGACGTCAGATTACACTAGCGGATGAGGGAACGGGGTAAACAAATGAGAAATCGGAGACACAAACGTCCACGGGCTCCTATAAAAGGTCACAGGAGACATTTAATAAAGTCTGCAATGCAAAAAATGTAGATTTTTGTAGTGTTTTTTTGTTTTTTTTCCAGTTATGATATTTAGAAATCAAGATACATTTTGAAAATTTCTTGTTATTCTTGAAAGATTCTGAATTAAGTTCATTTTTATAGTTAAAACAAGATAAATGACCTCTTAATTAGGTCTTTTCCACTGTGAATGAAATCCATATAAGAAATGATCATCAAGCCCCGCCTATTACGTCCAGAGAGGAGGAGCTGCACCTCAAGCTCCACCCATTCTGTCTAGATAGGTGTTTTAAATCAAGCCGCAACTATTCACCTTATTCTCCGCAGACGAGTGGGCGCTGCCATTTGAATCTTTTTGGCTTGAGACTTCCGGTCTCAGTCACTTCCATTCATTTTTTGACATTAAAAACTGCTCATTACGCTGCTTGATGATGCAATTCGATATTTTCTTATTATATTATTCTACTTGGTCTGTATAGTCGTTTAAACATTTGTTTGTAGAGCAAGTAGTTTGACCGTTTTCTGCCATTTATTATTCCTAGTCATTTCTCCCATAGGCGACTGAATCGGAAGTTCTAAGACAATCGCGAAAACAGGTGCACTTCCGCATTTTAAAATAAGGTCAATAACATTCAGAAAAGCAAAGCTGGACATTAAGCTCCACCCTTTTTGTTCAGACAGGTAAAGTGTTAAATCAAGGAGGAGGAGCTGTATATCAAAATTCTGTCCAAAGGATGGAGTTGTAAATCAAACCTGCCTATAATACCCAAAGAGGAGGTGCTGTTTAACAAGCTCCAACCATTTGTCTGGGAAGGTGGAGTTTTAAATCAAGCCCCGCCTATAATAAGGAAAGAGGAGGTGCTCTATAATAAGCTCCACCCATTTTGCCCAGACAGGTTTAGTTTTAAATCAAGCTCCACCATTAAATGTCCAAAAAGGAGGAGCTGGATATTAAGCTTCACCCATTTTGTCCAGATAGGTGGAGTTTTAAAACAAGCCCCACCAATGATGTGAAAAGAGGAGGTTCTTTATAATAAGCTCCACCCATTTTGCCCAGACAGGTATAGTATTAAATCAAGCCCAACTATTAAATGTACAAAAAGGAGGAGCTGGATTAAGCTCCAACCATTTTGTCCAGACAGGTGGAGTTTTAAAACAAGCCCTGCCAATAAATTCGAAAGAGGAGGTGCTCTATAGCAAGCTCCACCCATTTTGCCCAGACGTGTGAATTTTCAAATCAAGCCCTGTCGATAAAGTCCAAATAGGAGGTGATGCATATCAAGCTCCACCCATTTTGTCCAGATAGGTGTTTTAAATCAAGCCCCGCCTTTAATATTCAGACGCAAAGCTGAACATTAGGCTCCACCCAATTTGTCCAGATAGATGGAGTTTTAAAACAAGCCTCGACTATAATAATCAAAGAGGAGGTGCTCTATAACAAGCTCCACCCATTTTGCACAGATAGGTGGATTTTTAAATCAAGCCTCGTCTTTAATGTCCAAAGAGGAGGTACTGTATATCAAGCTCCACCCATTTTGTCTACCAAGGAGGCATTTTTAATCAAGCCCCACCAATAATGCCCAAAGGGGAGGGGCTAGACATCATGCTCCACCCATTTTGTCAGAATAAGTATAGTTTTAAATCAAGCCCCGCCTATAATGTCCAGTGAGGAGCCATATGGAGAAGGAGAAATGTCTGCATTGACAAAATCTTCATTGTAGAAAGAGCTAAAGAAATAAAGATTGAGTTGAAATATATTTTTCTGACCCCATTGGCTCATATTTTTCTTGTTTTAACCATAAATACATTTTGATTACTGCTTTACGGTCTGAAAACAAGACCCTATGTATGCATTTAATAAAACCTGGCTGTCTATGCAGTAAAAAACATTGATATACCCTATCCAAGACCACTTTTAGTCTGCTCCCATTGGAAAGGATGGATCAGAGTCAGATACTGCAGCTTCAGTCACAACTCTCTAGGTCATCCCATTACATGCAGAGCAGTAGGACAAGCTCCACTCATTAAACATTAAAATCAAGCTCCACCCAGTATGTCCAGATATAGGTGGAGTTTTACATCAAACCCCACCTATTATGATAGGAGTTTTACATTAAGCTTCACCCATTATGTCCAGAGAGGTGGAGTTTTACATCAAACCCCACCTATTGTGTCCAGATAGGTGTTGTTTTACATCAAGCCCCACCCATTATGTCCATACAGGTGGAGTTTTACATCTTGTTCCACTCATTACATCCTGATAGGTGGAGTTTTACATCAAGCCCCACCCATTATGTCCATACAGGTGGAGTTTTACGTCATGTTCCACTCATTACATCCTGATAGGTGGAGTTTCACATCAAGCCCCACCAATTATGTCCTGATAGGTGGAGTTTTACATCAAGCCACACCCATTATGTCCATACAGGTGGAGTTTTACATCACGTTCCACTCATTACATCCTGATAGGTGAAGTTTCACATCAAGCCCCTCCCATTATGTCCTGATAGGTGGAGTTTTACATCAAGCCCCACCCATTATGTCCATACAGGTGGAGTTTTACACCACGTTCCACTCATTACATCCTGATAGGTGGAGTTTCACATCAAGCCCCACCCATTATGTCCTGATAGGTGGAGTTTTACATCAAGCCCCACCCATTATATCCTGATAGGTGGGGTTTTACATCAAGTTCTGCTCATTACATCCTAATAGGTGGAACTTAATATCAAGCCTTGCACATGATGTCCAGAGAGGAGGAGCTAAAAATCAAGTGCTGCCTTTTTTGTCCAGACAGGAGGAGCTTTACATCAAGCTACGCCCGTGATGTCCAAAGATAACGAACTGGCCATCAAGTTGTGCTCATTACTTCCAGAGAGGTGGAGACAGATCAACTCAAAGACGAGGAGCTAGCCATCAAGCCCCACCTATTTATGTCTAGAGAGGCACAATTGGACATCAAGCCCCACCCATAATATCCTGATAGGTGGAGCTTTACATCAACCCCCAAGTCCCGCCTATAATGTCCAGAGAGGAGGAGCTAAAAATCAAGTGCTGCCTTTTATGTCCAGAAAGGAGGAGCTTTACATCAAGCCCCACCCATTATACCCTAATAAGCAAAACTTTACATCAAGACCCGCCCATTATGTGCAGAGAGAGAGAGAGAGAGCTTTAAATCAAGCCCTGCCCATGAGGTCCAGAGAGGAGGAGCTGAAAATCAAGTGCTGACTTTTATGTCCAGATAGGAGGAGCTCTACATCAAGCCCCACCCATTATACCCTAATAAGCAGAGCTTTACGTCAAGCCCCGCCCATTATCTCTAGAAATGGAGAGCTTTACATCAAGCCCCGCCCATGATGTCCAGAGAGGAGGAGCTGAAAATCAAGTGCTGCCTTTTATGTCAAGATAGGAGGAGCTTTACATCAAGCCCTGCCCATGATGTCCAAAGAGGAGGGGCTGAAAGTGAAGCTCCACCCTTTTTAAACAGAAGAATTTTGCTGACAAGTAAACATTCATTTCTTGTTCCAACAACATCTAGAAAGAGTCAACGCTGTAAATTTGCATGTACAGAACGTGTAACAGCACAAAAGCAAGCTTAAAATGAAGTTAAACCAAACGAATGTTAAGATATTTGTGTTGAAAATGACAATAGTTTGCAGTTCATGGTTATGAAAGAAAAAAATGTTACTTGCAAATAAATAAATGTTAAAATAAAATAGATAAAACGTTTTATTTCATGTACTATTATATGCCGAATGCCACATTTGACATTTTTATATAAAGCTGATGGTTCAAATAAATTAAATATCCCAAAAATTAATAATTATATTACAAAATCTGTTCAAATGTAACTACTAATATAACTTGTAAGCATTTCTTTCTTTATTTAAATGTCTACGTTTTTTTTGTTCTGGCGGAGCTGCTTCGTGCTTATACACGAGTTCTGGTCAAACTCTTGATGAAAGAGACGACGCATCATATTTACATCATGTTATTGCATATTAACATGATGTTATTTACAGCATACGGTGTGATTCAGACTCATTGGCAGGGAAATGTTTATTCCTCCTGGACTGAACTAGTGCAGTATCAGCACATCTGACAGCAGCTCCAGCTCCCGTTATAAACACTGCCTGAAATCCTCAATACACACATCATTAAATATGCAGAGATTATTAAACTGGCCCAATGTGTGTGTGTGTCTGTGTGTCTGCATATGTTTGTGTGTGTTTGTGTGGGTGTGTGTGTTCAACAGTGCAGGATCTTGATGAAGGCCTTGCGGAACTCGATGTTGAAGGTGGTGTAAATGACTGGGTTGACGGCGCTGTTCAGATAACCCAGCCAGGTGACGGCGCTGTAGAGCGATGGAGAGATGCAGCAGCTGCCGCAGTGAGCCTTCAGCACATGAGTGAGGAAAAACGGCAGCCAGCAGATGATGAACACTCCTGAGGGAGGAAAACAACACACACTGTTTACAGTTTAGGTGTTTATTTAAAGTTTTCAGCATTAGTTTATATTTGAATTAGAAATGTACAAACTCTATACACAGTCTTTTTTTGTAGAGTAAATTATACAACTACATTTAAAATATTAACAAAATACAAATCTTAATT